CTTTATAAAATTGACAGCGATAACTGGGTTGCCTTTATTTAAATAACCGATCAAAGTCGCCTAAGCTGTCAAACAATAAAGAGACTTGTTGGATATGCCACTTTCATCCTGCAGACTTGCGTTGAATGCGAATCATGAACATAACTTTTAAAATTGGCGTTATGGCATCAACATGTAAATTGAGTGTAGGAACGTCGGTACTAGTCCTGAACTTAAATATATGCACCAAGATTTGAATTACTAAACTTTTAATAAGAATATTATAGATAAGGGAGGGGTGTAGAGGAAAATCTGTGGTTATGAGCGATGACAATAATGTGATTTACGGTAGTGGCACTTAATCAAAGCAGACCGTTCCCCGTTATTGTGCTTAGTGATGTCTTATTTTAGCTGACATGGAGACCATAATAGGTAATATTTCTTGCCACTACGTAATTTATGTTGCGTTATGCTGTGGAATTTATTAAGGACAGTAAAAATATAAATTGTATAAATAAAAAAAGTTACCCAAAAAAAAGAAGTTTTGCCAACAAAAATACCCTATCAATGTTTTTCTTTGTGATGATTACAAAAATCATACACATGATATGTAGTCGTAAATGTCATATATGTCGTAGAAGATATATGTACATATGTGAGTGTAGCGCGTAACCACAGAAGAATAAACTTGGCATCTTATGGGAGAAATGTAGGAAAAATAAATGAAAATTTATTATCACATCACTCATTTGAGAGGCCATGCGGCAAATATTTAAAATACTTAAGTACAAGGGGACATTAAGGGAAGAGGAAATAAAAAGAGAGCAAAGAAGCGTTTTATTAAGTAGAGGGTGGTGGGTAGAGAATATAATGAATAAATTCCGTGTAAAGACCCCCCTCGTAACGCAATTGAAAACTTTTAACAAGTGCCGTGAAATCGTGTGTAAAGGTGGGCCCGTACCTAATTACGTCGCTAGCCGACCGGAATACGGGATGAGTTCAGAAATTTAAACGACTCTTTATGAAAATCAGCTTGTTAATATAAAAAATCATGTGTTGACCGACGACGTTACAATTCGCCTCAGTTTTTTTTGGCTACATTAGAATTCTAATCAGTAAAAAAAACAATGCAATTTAGTACTATTTATGAAAAAAAAAGAAAATTAAAATATTGCTTTGTATTAACCGCAAATCGGATCTTATTTCCGTTATGGCAAGCTACCGTACCCCGCACTTAGCTACTAGCGTGAAAAATATTAAAAAATTAACAAAACCTTGCCTGATAAAGACGTATTCTTCGAAACCCTAAAAAACAAGTCATTACCGAAGCGGGTTTAATCTACCGTCGTATTCTGCGGATTTTTTCGTGATATTCCATTATTTGAAGGCGATCGCTCGACGCTAAGCGGCGGGCACCGCTCACGCTAAAAATGATATGATTAATTACTGCCTTCGGTCGCCCTCATTAGCGCATAAATAGGAGCATTCAGTGGTGAAATTGAATCACGAGTGCTCCTGAGGCACGTTCAATTCCGATCTAATTATAATTATTATTCATTCCAGTAAGCAAATGACAAATGGTCTCTATGGTAGGTACGAGTAGGTATGTCACCAAAGCAATGTTTTGTTTAAGCGATGAAATCATCTGTGGTATTAAAATTGTTTAAGACGGCTTAGTGTTTTCCTAAATCAAATTTATCATGAAAACTTTTTATATATATTAGTATACATACGTAACTAATAATATCTATCGAGTTTACTTAAAAAAGGTGATACAAGCAAAATTCTTATAAATATTTTTTCACATTACATACATGTCTATGTTGTATGTACGCTTGCGTATTTTCTAGCGTGTCTTTTTCACCCTAAGTATTTATTCATAAGCCAATATAATTTACACACAAACGTCTCCAGAGCTAAAGGTCAGAACTGACAAGCGTGCACCCGCTGCTAACAAAAAATGTAATGAATAAACACTTTATATATTTACTTTCAAATAACACACAAGAAAAAAGTTATCTAGTTTATATATAGATTATACTATATTTTAATACTAATAATGTACTAGTTATATACTGAACATTGTGGTAGTTTTAAGATAATAATATTTTTTATATAATTTACTACATTATAAGAGAATATGAATTTAATAGTTTTCTTTTAGCTATAGTATTATTAGTAATATTCGTGTGTCCTACGCTTTACTGCCTTATATTGGCCGGTTCATGTCACTTGCCAGCACCCAGCATTCGCGACCCGTCAATCTTTTTTTTCTTTTTCCCTACATTCTTTTATAAATAAAGTATATAACGTGTCATAATCCACGTACAAAGAGATGGAACATAAAACGACGTACATATCTGTTCTATCGACGTAACGTAAAATAGAACGTTGTATAAATTTTCTATTCTCACTTTTTATATTGTTGAAATACAGTTAATTTTTGTGTGGGTATATAGTCGAAAGAAAAACTAATATAAAATTTAAAATACAATTAAATTTTTTATCATTATTTACTATTTAGTCATCTTTTAACCATGTATATATGAAAGCCTACATTACTTTAAGATATGAATATCTAATAGGTAAATATGATTTGATATGAACTCTAATTATAGTTAAAATATTATACATCAATATGTGATGTATTTTAGATATCGAAATATATTAGATTTGCTTTGCTTCGGCTGGCACAGACTTTGAAAACATCTGATTAGGTATTTATTCTAAATGAAAACCCCCGTTTAGTTATTTTTTACATTTTAGTGCCTGGAATTCGTTTTTTTTTTAAGTTTTTATTTGTCCATTTTTAGTGTAGACGTAATAAGCAGGTAATTTGTTAGAAGAAAGTTTTTTAATAAAATGTTCGATTAAGCAATTTATTTAAAAAAAAAAACAATTTATTTGTTGATTTTAAAAAAACCGCTTCACCTATTTCGATAAAATTTATATGGGACCACCTGGAAAGTATATATACCCTTTGAAACAAAAAAAAATCCAAATCGGTTCAGGCGTCTTCGAGTAATCGGTGAACATACATAAAAAAAGTTAAAAAAATCCGACGAATTGAGAACCTCTTCCTTTTTGGAAGTCGGTCAAAATACTATTTTAGTACGTTTGGTTACCGTTAAATTCTTAGCATTTTATTTAACTATAGATACCTTACAAAGCTTATATTAATTTATATGCTGTGTTTTCAGATGTTTTAAAAGATTATATATAAAATTCAAGCCATATAAATACTTTATTCAATTATTCTTCTGGAAGAATTTTGGAGGTTTTTATTGCATAGACAACCCGTAATATTAAACCTTAGTGTCGGTATCTTACGAAAGCAATGCTTAAACAGCTACAAAAGTGCAAGACAAATGTTAAAACTTGTGATGTGTATATCTCAGTCTTAAATACTAGAAAATGAGGTCAGATTACCGTCCGTTGTTTTCACGAAACAATAAAGTTATAGTTTTGTAAGGAGCGATACTGACTGAGTTATTGGACACTCAACTGGAAAGTTTTTGTGAATTAACGCTGATATTCCGAGGATTTATTGTATTTGAACTTCTTATAATTTACTTGTATTTATTATTAGTAGGTATGTAGTTTAAATAATACATAATTTTGTAACTAATATTATGCATTTTAAATAAAACTACGAGTATGTATCTTTACGGATTTTTCGCGAATAATTAATGCGAAAAGATAGTTTTATTTAAAATGTCAAATATTCGCGTAAATCTAAGAAAGTATTAATATTATGCAGTACTTTTACATGAACACGTAAAAATTAAAAATATATGCTTTGCAATAATATATCTATTTATAATTAAAACTCAGTTAAGTTCAAGTTTGACTAAGGCAAGGAGGGCTCTGTACACAATATTATAGTCCCTTTCCTGCTATGAAAAAGAATATGATAAACTCAAAGAGGCCCTTAATTTGTCACTAATTTATAATTTATTAACACTTAATTTGCCTACAGTTCCAAGGATATAGATAGAACAGACAGATGGACGTATGGTGTAGGCTTAGTTACAGTTTGGAGCTTTTCACCATGGAACCCTAAAGAATTGAATGATAACTGCCAACTAAGTGTGTAATATAAATACGTATGGGTCTAGTTTGGAACAGCCAAAATTTAGCAATAACTCTCTAAAAAATAATATATAATATACATACATATAGTGTGCATCCGGTTTGTTTCTTATGAGTAGAGTAAATGTATACAGTTTGTTGGTTTTAATACATTTTATCGTGTAAAAAAGATCAAATAATTTTAAATAGCAATTTTGTATTATTTGTTTGAAATTTTAGCAAAAAAATATATTTTAGAAGTCACGACTAAAATATCGCAAATAGCGTCATAACAAACCTAGAAACAACAAACTAAAATGTATTGCGCTTTTTGATCCACATAATGAAAATTTATTAAAATATTTTATTTATTAAAAATTAAAAAAAATATATTACCTTCATTAATCACTGAACAGGGTCCCATTGTATGCCCCCTCTCGGCCCCTAACCAACTACTCATATCACAAGCTTCCACCTAGCTTAAAACTAACTACGCTAACACAATTGACACATTAACAACGATCGGTAACATTACGCTAAATAAAATTATAATATTAGTTAACATAAATCTCGACTAACATGCAAAAGTACCTCGAACAGAAAGTGTGTGCGTCTTATTTACATTATATAATTAAACACAAACAAAAATCCATCCAGCGGTTTTGAATTCAAATGAGTTTAACTATGTGATTTTTTGAGATGATCATAACCTACGCAATCCTAACCTAGCATGACAAACAGACGAACAGATTCATTATCAGTTGTCTCATTCTCTCACACTAGTTAAAAAAGGAATAGCAATATTTACCTATATAGATTAGTGAGATAACATTTTTATCATGCTATGGCAGGATTTATTTTGTACAAATCCAAACCCGTCCAGTGTTTACTATTGAGCAACAAACATCCAATTGACTCTAATGTATTAAAATATTATATTGGTAACTTCAATGAACCCAAGAGGGGGCAACAGTATATGGGGTATGCGAGGTCCCCCCGCCTGAAAGCGTTGTGGGGACTGGGGCCGATGGGGCCCTAAACTGACTTTCAGCTTCTGCTGCCATTGCAGTATTTTGTTGTGGAAAGTTGAAGTCCAGTGTGCCGTCCATGCTTAACTCGTGTCTTATGACCTGGTGAATTATATTTAAAATTCATTAATTATATTTAATTTGGTATTTTTAAAGTGATAAAAATTAAATAAGGGAGGGAGCAACGACCTTTTCTTCCTTAACTTCGAATAAGTAAGTAACGCTTAAAGGAAATCATGAAACTCTATGAAAAAGAAAAATAAGTACCTTTTGCGTAGAGAATTGTTCCAAAAAATAAATAAGTTAAAGAACAAGATGCTTATGTGTATGTATGTAACTACTGAAAATAATGTGAATATTATGTACCTCGTCCACATTGCAATCGAAACTGTGTTCTAATGCTTCAATATTCAAATCTTCGGAGAGTCCCGTATTGAGTGCACCCATGATCTGCCCCATCACCGTTGTGGGGCCCATTGGGCCCGTCTGTACCATTATACCCCCGTTCATTAACGTTGCGTCTGATGTTGCCACCATTTGTGTTTGGCTATTTTCTTATAACAAAAAATAATGAGAGTATTGATTAATTAATATTTTATGTATAGCATACGGTGACATAATAAAACTGAAAATAAAACAGAAGGTAGGTAGGTATATGATAATATAATACGTTTACTTTAAATGTTTTCAAAATAATTATTATAGAGAAACCGGAAACACGTTGTAAACTAAAAATTAAAAAAAGTATGCTAGAATATACTGACAAATAAACAAATTATCATAAATGGAATACGTTTTTTAATATATTTAAACAAAAAATACATTATTAATAATTTTGCAATATACTTGTGTTTAGCATATAAAACAGAGTAGTTTATTATTTTGTATACAGAACATCACAGAATAGCGATATAACTTAGTTCGGCCGATGCTACTTAATTATTTAATATTGTCAAATCTACTTTGAAATGTGTTTAATATGTGAGTGTGCGGAAAACCAAAGTCCAAGTAGAGTTAGTTTAAAAAAAAAATCTATATAAACTTCGTCACACTCATGCCAGACTTAAAGTATATTTTGGCTGAATTTTACTTAAGTATAAACGTAGTTTTAAAGTTATTTGTATGATGATGTCGACATTAACGCGCATTTATTTTTACTACCAACCTGTTTGCATAATATCAGCTGGATCAGCAGGTGGGGGAGGTCTTACAAAGTGGTCGAGCGGGTGTTGATGAGAATGTGTGGGGTGTGCGGGGTGCGCGGGGTACAGGGGTGTGCACGCGCAACCCCCGTGAGGATGCCGAGGGCATGCGCCGTATGCGAAGCGATAGCTCCCACCTGACGACGACGACGATGTCGTTGGCACATACCTGCATGAAAGTACATAATTTACATCTTACGTCTCGTAAACAATTACAAATTCTTCGTTTTTATTCCGTTGAAAATTAATTCGACGCTTTTTATAATAATAATTACATGGAGCACTGAGTAATCAATTATCACAAATTATGTTGCGTATTTCGAATGATATGATTAACAATAATGTGATATTATAAATTATTTATTTTTTATAATTCACGATAATCTAAAAGCCAACTATTTTATTTTCTAAAATAACAAAATGCAGCTTCTAATTATAAATAAACTTATCTTGGCTTAGGCGTAAAAGTCACAAAATCTTACGTATTTAGAAATGGATCTGCCCCGTGAAGCTTCATGGAGTCCGCGAGCGATCCCGCTAGATCTTGGTCTTGAGTGTAATCAGCTGGGGAGAAATCACTGGTCGAAGCAAAGTCCCCTGAGGGAGTATAATCCGTCGCCCACTCTGGCTCCGTGGGTATTAAGGAAGGGATCGGTGATAGCCGGCTGCACGATGACGCATTTGAAGAAGCCCTCTGACGAAAGTCCGGCGACAGCTGAAAACTGCTGCTACGCCAAAGCGAACAAGCGTCAAAAATAAATTGAGCCTCGGAATCGATAAAGACGACCATGAAATTCTAAAAGATAAAATATTTATGGGCCATGGTCAAATTTAACGATATAATCGAGCAGCAAATAATCAAAATTCTTAGCAAAACTAAAACTATACTAGAATAATTTTATAAATTAAGTATAATGGAATACATGCAAATCTAATGCCTCCATCAAGGTCCGCTAACATGAATGCCAAATGAAGCGATCATCGTAATGGGTAAAATGGTCAGAAAGGACACATTTTATTAGTGCAAACTATAACAGAAAGTAATTTAATAAGAATTGTTATGGACAATGATCTCAAACGAGGACATTGGACAAAAAAACGTCCGATATAAATGTCAATTACATTCGTAATTTTGACAGATATTCGGTAATAAAAATATTAAATATTGGAGAGAATGACGAGATTCAGGCATCGGTATAACTCATCATCTAATGGTCGTGTATGATTTAAAACCTTTTATCATAAAGTAACAGTGTTCCTATAACTCAATTTTATTAGCGTGGTCAACGCCGCGTTATGTCGATCGGTTATTTTTATTGTTAAGTGGATTTCACATGCGACCCGTAAATTGTATCCGCTGACGTAAACACTAGATGCAGTGGGATACTTGGCAGAATACGCAATTGTATTTCTCGTGTAGGTAAATTATGATCCCTTTAAAGTCGAATTAGTATTGCCGTCCACGACGGTTATGTCTGTTAACATAATTGGCCGGGTGCCATCTATCCCCCTTACTTTTACACATCTGTGGAGGTGGACTTATACTTGAAGCAACTAGTCTAGTCTCTAAGAGATAAGTATCTATGATATAATATGAACAAATTGTATCTAATATGTATTTACTTATTAAACTTAGTAATTTGGACTATTCTCTTTACCTGTGTATTGGAGAATCTGGGAAAATATCGAGACTTTCTGATATTGAACTACTTGGACTCGGTGTGGCGTCAGCTGTGACTCCGTTTCTTAATGCGTCCGGCTGTCAATAATTATAATCAATATAGTTATATAACAATCACTCTTAAAAAGGAGTATATTTTTTCATTTTACAAAAATATAAGTATAAAATAATTTTATGAAAAAAATTGAATTATTTTCAAAACATTTTGCATATGCTTTCTAAAAAAGATATTTAATTATATCAAACAAGACTAATTATGGAGTAGTGATTATTTAGCAGGACTAAAATTAATATTTTTAGTATAAAGGAAAATGACATTTTATTTTCTAATTGACTTTCAAAACCAATTTAGCTAATAAAAGCTTACTTACATAGCTACTTATTTAAAAAAAACACAATGAAGTTCTTTTAGTACTTTCAGTACTTTCAAGTATAATAAATAAAATAATATATTATATTAGATTACCTTCTTTTTAACTCTGCCTCTTCTCTTTTCTGTCTTGGATGTCTCCATTGAGAGCGCTCGCCTACGCACCGATTTGCCAGGTTTCGCATCCGGGTTGATCATCCACCACGACGACTTGCCTGTACCCTCGTTTTGTACCCGCATAAACCGGTTGTGGAGAGAGAGGTTGTGCCGAATCGAGTTCTGCAACAGAGCGACAACTATCGTTACCCATAATGAAAAATTATTCGTTCCACTTACAAGTAGAGTATACGAAATTTACAATTAATAAACTTTACGTAGTATAATAAATCCATTTGTCATATCTGTTTACATAATAGTAATAAAAGTGACCGCAAAAATCTATTTTAATTCCAACGCAAAGTTAGTGCAATAACGTGTCCTATCTCACACCGGTAATAAAATCTCACAACTTTTTCCGTTGAAGGAATAAAAGCAACCACAGCAACGAATGAAGTTTAGCAATAAAGTAGCCCATAAATAATTTCTGCGCGCCCTATGAGAACTGCCACTTTCTCGTATCGTTCATCTCGATGTAAATAGGATTTTTAGCTAAATCATAAAATCAGTAGAAAATTGCTGTGTAAAACATGGAATATTTTACCGTTTACACACAATTTAACATGAATATTATCTATTCAGAGCACTCAGTAGAGTTTTGGAATATATACATTTTTCCTACATGCTCTGTCTTATTTCATAATTCCTATATAAAATGCATATTTTTACATTTACATCAAAACGTGGCAAAGCGTAGTTCAAAACTTGTCTTACTCGTTTGGTATACTTACATATTATATCGTGTCTCTTTCAATATGGAAATTTTATATTCAACCCAATCATAACGAGACTTTCAAACTAGGCGTATGGTACCGTGTCAGGTATATATCTATCCTGACCAATTTTCGGTCACGGTGGCTATCCAGTACCTGAGTAGCTTCTATAAGATATTATGCGCATAACTAACTTATCTATAAGAATTCAGTCCGATGGAACGGTAAATAGGTTCTTCGAGTCACCAACTCACCCAGAGTTGTTAACTGCTATTTTTTCATAGAAAACCTCAATAACTCACCTACTTAATTGGCCCCCAAATCGCTAATAATGTAAAAATAAATTAATATTGACTTGGCTTTATTTTAATTTAATTCATTCTTATTTAATATTTAAACTTGCGACGTTATTAAGAAAATAACATACCTAATACCTATATCTATATCTACATTCAATTACGAATAATGTACAACAATTGGAGTTTCACATAAATCCGCTAAATGTGGACAAGTTACGCGATTTATCAAGCGTGAAAACACGCGCAACAAATGGCCTGTCGACTTTCAGATGGATTTGTCGCCAGAAGCCCTTACCAAGAATTTCTACTATAATAATTGGGACGTATGAATAAAAGTAATTACATCGCAAATGGCTTGTGAGAAGAAATACAAGAAATAAAAAATTTATGGTTTTAATGATAAAATTTTTGAGACTCAAATTAAATTTCAAATATTTAAAGTAAAATTTAGTTTTTTGAGGCCCCATTTTATTATACAATTATAATATACTAGCGATAACTCTCGCTTCGCTCGAGATCGTCCGTAGGTACGTTTTAACGGTTACTACGATATAGATAGACTATATATTATACATATATACATAGGTATGATGAGTTGTTGTGAGTTGTAGTGAGAATGAGATAATCTCTCACGGTTAAAGTAGCCTATGTTACTCTCCAACCCCTAACTATCTCCACACAAAAAATCACGCTAATCCGTCACTGTTCAGACGTGAAAGAAGGACAAACAAACAAACACACTTTCACATTTACAATATTATAATAATAGTAGGTATGGATTTTGTCAATATAATACTATCATTAGAATAATACACTATGTTGTAGGTATATAATATTGTATATTATTCAATTTATATTAATCTACATATTTTCTATTTGATTTGCAAAGACAGCCCGTAAAATTAGAAACTCAAGAAATATTGTTATGGACATTAAAAACCTTAAGTATATTTTATTAATTCAGAGTATTATCTATATTTATCCGGACGTTTTCGAGAAATACAATTAAATAAAAATAGAAGTAAAGACAAATTCTCAAAACTGTAGATTTGGCATTTATTACATCGAAAAAATAGATGTCTATCTTTATATATATAATTCTTCTGTGAGTGTGTATGTCACTGAACTTCTCTCAAACGACAAAAAATTTCATCAAAATCGGTCATTTTGATGAAATTTTTTGTGTGTGTTCAAGGGGATCTGGGAATGGTTTAGATTCACAATTTGAATAATAATTTTCATCAAAAAAAATATTAAAAAAAGTTTGAAATTTTCAAATTAAAGACGTGTAGACAGGACAACGTCTGTCGGGTCCGCTAGTAAATATATAAAAGGCAAAAGTGATTGACTTATGTATCAACGCACGGGGCTAAACCCTTAACGCTAGAAAATTGAAATTTCGCACACGTATTCCTCATATGACGAAGGCATCCACTAAGGAAGGATTTTGCAAAATTCAAGCCCCAAGGGGGTTAAATAGGGGATAGAAGTTTGTATGAAACTTTTTATTCCTTGGACATATTTGCATGAAATTTCGTATAAATTGAGTACGGCAAAAATAATAAGTTACGTATTTCAGCGTTTTCTAAAATTCAATTCCTAAGAGGGTAAAATAGGGGAAGATAACCAAAAGCCAAAGAGGTTTTTTTGTAGATTGAATGGGGGCGTAGCCGCGGGTCTTGCTAGTGTATTATAAAAAAATATGTACATTCATAGTAACACTTTGACACTTACAATTTTATTAAAAGAACTAGCGACTCACCCTCGCTTCGCTACGCTTCGTCCCTGGCTTGCTTCCCAATACAAACTTTCATCCCCATTTTCACCCCCTTAAGGAATGATTTCCATGATAAAAAGTATCTTATGTCCTCCCCACAGTCTCAAAATATCTTCTTACCAAATTTCATCTAAATCGGTTCAGTAGATTCAGAGATTACCTCCTACGTCACAAACTCACAAACTTTACCTCTTTATAATATTAGAATAGATAAAATGAATGAATACTTCGATAAGTTTTTTTTACAAAAGATTTGCCTATACCCTACGACTATCATATTAATATCTAATTCTACGACCGTAGCTGCTTACAGGCTACGGTCTCTAATGTGCTTCCTACTTTGTTATTAGTTTTAGCTCCTATCCGTTATGTAGTGTTACTGTAATGATACACTGAAGACAGTTCAAATAAATATTTAACGTGTATAGTAAGTAGGTTTGTGATGCTTGAATTTGTGATCTAAGGATAATTTTACGTATATTTTTTAAAGTTTATTATATAATTTTTAATTATATTATGAAAATAATATTTCTTCAATAGTATACACACTACACAGTAATGTTCGAAGACGCAGACAAGATTCTTGCGAGTGCGAGATCATACTTAGAATTTTGTGTACGGTAGGATTGTTGGCGCCACAGCGACCCTTATGGGGTGAATTAACCGTCTCCGTCGACGTCCCCTTTAATGCTCCAGCGACTTAAATTTTGTCGAATTTCCATGCTATAATATCGTGTTACGCAATCTTCGAAATCAATGGCTTATGATTTCCGTAGTTTATAGCTTTAAGGATTAACGTTGAAAGTTTATTTAAAGTTAATGGAAAATAAAAATGTTTTATTTAAATTCGAAAATGAGTTTTCGTTTAAGTTGACATTTTTCTAAATAAAAGAGATAAAATAGTCTTAATTTTAACGCACAGGTGTCAATTTTTTGTTATAATAAATAAAAAAATAAGTATATTTTTTTATTTATTATAACAAAAAATTGACACCTGACACTATATATATCAAATATAATAAATACAAAATAATATAAGGAAATAAAAATATGAATTGCAGAATTTCAAGGTCTCTCGTCCATTACAAGTAGTAGATGTAACCTTGGAGCAGGGAATATTTTATGAAAGAAACGTGAAAACAGAATGGTCTAAACGACTGTATACCTATTGAATAATTCAATACTACGCAACACTGTGAGTGCACGGATTATAGACCTTCAAAATGCATTTTAATATAGTGCGCAGTAAATTTTATTATTTCAAGACTAGCGATTCACTCTCGCTCCGCTCGGTTTCGTCCCTACTTACGTTTTAACATATAGATTTCTCAGAGATGAGATATTTTCTCGCAATAAAAAGTATCCTATATGTTGACCCGGATAATCAGCTATCATCATACCAAATTTCATCAAAACCTATCCAGTGGTTTTTCCGTGATGCGGTAACAGACAGACAGACAAAAATTCTAAAAACTATACATTCGGCTTCTGTATCGATAATTATGACTATTTCAATAAGATTTTCCAAAAAATACTCATTGTACAGATTCGGCATAGTTACAATTTTATTATAGGTATGTATAACTTTACAAACTGAACGGTGTTCTGATACTGTTTATGCCTTTGATGTGTCTTCAAAGTTGTATTATTTTAATCACACATAGTCAATTATACCCAGATTAAACTTACATTTTTTTAAAATTCATTTTGCGGCCATGTTTCACTGCGACCATTATTTATTGTGAGGAAAAAATATTTAATGTACAGATTCGATTCAGAATTTTATTATATGTATAGATAGATTGCATAAGGTAAGTCAGGATTCAGGCCTATACTCAAATTTACAACTAAATATTTAATCTAACTTGTGTACAAATTTGATGTACCAAATTTAAAGTCAGATGAGTCATAGTTTTATATTTAGTACCGCGACTCCATCATCATACAAAACAACTTAGATAGCCTAAAAAAAGTTTAAGCCATAGTAAGTGGTTTTGTATTACATAACATAACAAGGTTGACTTCTTATCGCGGATGTGAAAATTATTCCAAAACATTAACCGCGTACCTCAGGTGAACACTGAGTTTTTATCAAGTGTATCGTAACAGAAATCCTACGTAGGTTACATTAAACAAAAATTTTAGGTTTCAATGAAAAATATTATAATTAACATTTATTATTTGCTTTAGATTTTACAATAACAAATATTTAAGATTAAATAAAATTATCTTTTCGGATTATTTCGCGGCGGTCTCTCCCGTGACCATGATTGCTGTAAAGCATTCAAAACGTCGGTACCCAAAAATTAAAAATAAATCCGCAAAATAATCCGA